AAAAAAAAAAAAAAGAAAGAAACTTGATGTCTGTGTAGTAGCTGACATTTTATTCCATTTGTAGTAGGACTAATGGGCTGTTTGTAGCTGCTTCTTATTTCTTTTACTTCTTACTTATTAAAAAATCCTACAAAAAGATTTAAAGAAAAATATAATGCATACTTACATACTTAACACTCAACTGTGGACCCCTTCTGATTGGATACGTCTTCCATTCCCCACAAATGTAAACTTTACCTTAATTATGGTATTTATCATTGGTACTTATTTCTTCATATTTGGGCTATTTCTTATTTAGGCCCTCAAGCCCTTTCTTTCTACCATCCTCTGTTTTCTAAGGCACTAGAATTTCTCTGAAGCAACCTTGTGTGTGAGAGCTCAACATTTTCTTCCCCTTTTGCTAACTTCTCTAATTCTTAGCCACAAGTCTTTGGGGAAGACTCTCCATAGAGATTTTTTTTCTCTTAGATACACTAAGAAATCAAGGTGGGACTGCCAGGTAGATTCCGAACAAGCAAGAGATGATTTCTATTAACAGTTAACAGAATCAAGAGTGAGCAGTGCTACCTACTTACTGACAATTTCAGGTATTGAGTGGCTTCAGAGGAATTTCACATCCTCTTCAGGACAGAAGGCTGTATAGAGTATGACAATTAAAGATTCAGACTACCATTCAATAAAAAAAAAAAAAAGATTCATACTCTGGGACCACATTGCTGGTGTTGAATCCCAGTTCCTCCGTATATGATCTGAGTGACCTTGAGACTCAGTTTTTTTTTTTTTCTTTTAAATGAGGGTAATATTGTGAAAAAACTACAGCATTAGTACCAAATACTATAGAAGTGAATCAATTGATGTAAAGATCTTCAGCTAGTGCCAGGCACATAGGAAGTACTCAGTAAATGTTAGCTGATACTAACAGTGGTAGGAATTGGCTAGGCATGGTAGCTTACACCTATAATCCCAGCATTTTAGAAGGCTGAGGCAGAATCAGTTGAGGTCAGGAATTCAAGACCAGTCTGGGCAACAGAATGGAACAAATATGGTCCCAGCTACTTGGGAGGCTGAGGCAGGAGTATTGCTTGAGCCCAGGAGTTTGAGGCTCTGATCAGCTGTGATTATACCATAGCGCTCTAGGCAACAGAATGGCACCCTGTCTGCAAAAACAGCAACAACAACAACAAAAAACTAGTAGTGGGAATAGAACTGTACATATCTTTAATCTACAGGAAACTCATGTAGTTCATAGCTTGTTTTTACTCTATTATGTGTTTTTTAGCAGGGTAGCCATGGATGCAGTCCCTGTTAGTCTTTGCTTCTCACAGAACTATCATTGCAGTATAAAACCATGATCATGCACCCCTATCTTTCATTCTGTCACAGCTACTTTTTTCAGATCCCTAGTTAGTATGGGGAGCTAAGTTGCCCATTCACATGTTCCAGAACTGCCTATCTGGTCCTTGCCCACACTTGGCATTATCATGAAAATGAACAATTATTAAATATGAGGAAAAATTCAGCTTACTTTGTGTATGTATGTGAAGGAACTACTTACATCCTATTGTTAAATGGGAAACCAAAGGAGAAAAGACCCGGTTTCCATATTGGTAAATAAAGACATGTAAAACCCAACACAGATTATGTCAAAAAAACTAGGATGAATTGATGGATGGAGGAATAGATACACATAGGAAAAAGCAAATATAGCAAAATATTAATTACATGATTTAGGGGGTGGGAATGGGTATCCATTGTGTAATCGTGTGTTTAAAATTTTTCAAAATATGACAAGCGAAAGTAATGCATTTATTTTCCTTCACAAGTGCTTATTTGCTTTCTGAGCAGGTGTGTCAGTACCTCTGCAGCTGGGCCTGCCTGATGCAGTGCCCCCCCAGTATGGAGCACTGAGAGAGGTGAGCATCCACACCGTGCGGGCCAGGCTCCGGCTGCTTTACCACTTCTCCGACCTCATGTACTCGTCCTGGAGGCTACTGAACCTCAGCCCCAACAACCAGGTAACAGACTACCTTAGGAAGCAGTGTCTGTGACATGCTCCCAGGCCCCAGGGCCTTTCTCTTGCTTGGCCTTGGGAAGGTTCTTGCATGGCTAGTACTTTCTTTACTCTTAGCACCCAAGAGAAGCAAAAAGACAACAGTTCTATTCCCATTTTATTGCTGTTTTAGGGACAGTCCAGATATTAGTCATCACGCTGCTGGGCACAAAGTGATACTCTTTCTGTGTTTTGGTTTGTCCAGAATTTGAGGAAGTATAAATGGCTAAGCATGTTATGTATTTTTACAAAGTCTAATATCTGATTGTAAAATTTAAGCACACAAAGCCATTAGAACCACAGTCAAGGTTGTTATATAAATGAATCTGAGAAATTTAGGATACCTTTTTCTCTTCTTACAAATGAGTATTCTGGGGGGGAAAGTGGAGGAAATTTTTTATTTATGGGTATATGTGTGTTTAATGTATAAGCATGCCTGCCAGAGTGTGTATAAGTTTGTAAAACTGCTAATCAAAAATGCTTCCAGTACCCAGCTGTGGAGCATGTGAGAGATCTGACAAATCACTGTGAGATCATCAACCAGGCAGAGAATACTAAGCAGCACTGAACACAGTGCTTGCAAACTGTAATTAGTTGGAGAAATGTTTATGATATAAAGTTAAGTGAGAGAAACAGCTCAAAATTATATAAATAGTATGATCTCAACAATGTGAAAAAAATGTGTGTATACACACAATAGAAAACTGGAAAGAGGTAGATCAAAGTGTTAATGGAGCCGTATCTGTAAGGTGGGATTATGGATCATTTCCTTTGCGTGCATGTATGTGTCCTTTGCTTTATTTTCTAAGGTTTTTAAAAATAGTAATTATGAGAAAAAAATATTTTTAAAAGTTAATAGTTACAGGGCGGCATCTGGGGCTCAGTGTGTATGGCATTGACCCCATATACTAAGGGTGGCGGGCTCAAACCCAGCCCCAGGCAAACTGCAATAAAAAAATAGCAAGGCGTTGTGGCGGGCGCCTGTAGTCCCAGCTACTTGGGAGGCTGAGGCAAGAGAATCGCCTAAGCCCAGGAGTTGGTGGTTGCCATGAGCAGTGTGATGCCACAGCACTCTACTGAGGGTGGTAAAGTGAGACTCTGTCAATACAAAAAAAAAAAAAAAAGTTATTAATAGTTACAAATAACCAGGTTTGCACTTTTTTAAAGTACATTTCAAAAAGAATATGTGTTTTTAAAATAAGAAGTGTTACTTCTTTTAAACCTTAGATTATACCATTTCTTATAACCTTACTTTCTGTTACAGAACAGCACATCCCATTATAATGCTGGAACTTGGGGCATTGTACAGGGACAGCTTCGGCCTTTGTTAGCCCCAAGAGTCTACACTCTCCCAATGGTGCGCTCCATAGGAAAAACCATGGTTCAGGGCAAAAACTATGGACCTCAAATTACTGTAAAGAGGATATCAACCAGGTTAGCATACTTGTGTATGTATGTATATTTCGCTAACTAGCTGGGATTTGGGGAGATGAATATTATTACTAACATTTGTCTCTATAAGCCTTAACTTCCTCAATTATGAAGTATGGTAGGTAGTAATAGTACTTACATTAGTACCCCAGGTGGTTACAATGAGCCCAGCACAGTGTTTGACTGCTGTTAAGCTGGCCTGTTCATTCACTGATGAGAAGATAGCAAAGTGATCTTTGTGTTGATTTGGGGAAGTTGGTGAGAGTTACATTTCATTCCCTTTTTCTTCCTTTCTTTTGAAGAGGACGGAAGTGTAAACCCATCTTTGTCCAAATAGCAAGACAGGTGGTTAAATTGAATGCATCAGACCTCCGTCTCCCTTCCCGGGCATGGAAGGTTAAGCTAGTTGGAGAAGGGGCCGATGACGCTGGAGGAGTGTTTGATGACACCATCACAGAGATGTGCCAGGTATATTCGTGCATTGTCCCCTGCTGAGTCATTTAGTCAGATAATGGCCATTTTACTGTTCCAGTGATCATTCTGTTGGGCATGTTTTTATAAATGTAGCAAGGATGTGTTCATAAGCCTCAAATAAAGTCATGCTATTAGTGATATATAGGTGAATTAGAGTAGTGGTTTGTGAAATGCTTTGCTGTAAGTAAATGTCAGTGCTTAACCATCTACCAATGACTCACCATCTGTTGTCCTATAATATTGGCAGAGGAAACAACCACACATATGTACATTTATGTAACAGACAAATCCAGGACCACCCACCCATGTGCTTGATTTATTCTGGTGCTTTTAGAACAAAGTAAAACTGCCAGGCCCTAGGCAAATTAGAAAAAGAAGTATTAAGAGGTTAGACCAGTTCACATTTTAAGTTGATCATTGGCAGCTTTGCTTCCAGACCAGCTCTACTCCTCCCAGCTTTGCCTAGTATCAGGACTTTTCTGATAAATCCTGTGACTAAAATAATGCTTAGCTCATTTATTGAGTCTATTTGAAGTATCACTATACTCTGCTCACAGCTACCCCCAACTCCCGTACTGACCTTCTCATTCATCTTGTTTTTTCATACTGCAGGACATTTTTGATAGGGAGTTTTTCCTAATTTCATTTTAAATGAAAACCACAAAAATAAAGTATGGAGATGGCTGGTTATCAAATAGAATTATAAATTCCTCAAAATATTCCCTTTTCAGTATGGTCTTTAATGTAATTGATTCATTTTCTTTAAGTATTTGATTGTCATTTCTCAAAAAATGTTTTTCTTTCTTCCATAGGAACTTGAAACTGGTGTAGTTGACCTTCTTATACCCTCTCCAAATGCTACCGCAGAAGTGGGTTACAATAGAGACAGGTATGGCAGCCAGCAAGTGTTTATTGAATATCTAGAATAATAGTAATAGCTCACTTCTACGCCTGTATTGAGTGTACCGGGCACTGTTCTAAGTGCTTTATGGATTTTATCCTTTTGAATCTTCATTATGACCCTAAGGAATAGATACTATCATTATTCTCTTAGATGAGGAAACAGGCACTTTCATCAAGACTTGGCATTTATTATAAGACTAACTCAATGGTAATATAGACTTTATCATGAAACCTGACTCATTTTGTTTTCTAAAGGCTCACCTGGCCTCCCTTTAATGAATTTTCTGCATAAAATTAAGTAAAAGGCTTTATTACACTATCAAATCACAGAACTTAGTATTTACAATTACTTATTGTCCTTAGGTCTACAAAATTTTGAATTTTAGATCCTGCTTCATAGACTTATAAATAATTAATGAAGTGATTTTAGTAAATACAGCATTCTGGAGAAGGGAGCTTAAGATCATTTGCTTGCCGTTTTATAATTTTGCTAAAAATAGTTGAAAATATGGTCCCTGTGCTATCTAAAACAGTAGCCACAGCCCACTTGTGGCAGTTGAGCACTCAGAATGTGGTTAGGAAAGCTAAAAACCTGGATTTAAAAAAAATTAATTTAAATAGCCACATGTAGCTAAATGGCTATCATATTGAAGAACACAGGTGTAGACTAACACTGTATCTATAAATAAATAAGTTGTGGGTAACTTATTTCTAATAGAAATTAGGAAAGTTTTGTTTGAGATATTTCCTTTAATTCTATAGGTTCCTTTTTAACCCCTCTGCCTGCCTCGATGAACACTTAATGCAATTTAAGTTTTTGGGAATTTTAATGGGGGTTGCCATTCGCACAAAGAAGCCTCTGGACCTCCACTTGGCTCCTCTGGTGTGGAAGCAGCTGTGCTGTGTCCCGCTCACCCTGGAGGACCTGGAGGAGGTGGATCTGCTCTACGTGCAGACTCTCAACAGTATTCTTCACATTGAAGACAGTGGGATTACCGAGGAGAGTTTCCATGAGGTAAATCCCGGCTGGTCCGTGTTTCTCCTGGTGTTGACTTCCTATATGTAGAGACTACAATTTTTCTATATAAAATTCAGACATGGTCTTTCATTTGCTGTCTGGATGATCCATACCATATGCATATCTATGCATTGCTGCACTTAGAAGTTCGACTTCAGCAATTTGAATAGCTGCTAATAGATAGAGTTGACTTCAGCCCTTGGCTTCTGCTCTTTCCTCCTTAATTTGTTTTCTGCCTATTAGAGTAGAGAACCAAGTTGTAGAGGGAGGCCTGGGGTGACCATAGTTCAACGGGCCTGATTTGAAGACAGAGAGATTCAGTCCCATTTTTAACTACAGCCAGATGAGTAAGCACATTCCTGCTGGTCAAGTAGCCCAATGAGTCTTACCTATTTTGTTTGCTTTGTTAGCATCCTTAAAAATCTTGACTTTGTTCCTGAAGTGCCCTATTTGTATGTAACATATTTTTTGTTATTTCTACTGTGTAATAAAAATTCTTTTTTTCTTCTTTTCTTAGATGATTCCTCTTGATTCTTTTGTTGGCCAGAGTGCTGATGGCAAAATGGTTCCTATAATCCCTGGTGGAAATAGTATCCCACTCACATTTTCCAATAGGAAGGAATATGTGGAGAGGGCCATTGAGTATCGGCTTCATGAGATGGACCGACAGGTAAGATGAGATATTTTGAGAATGACATGTAAATGCTCGAGTTTGTCCCCAAATGAGAGCTGACTGGTTACTACCAGATTTGTCATATGTGTTGTTGATTGAGCTGTATCTATAGCTCAGGTCCCATTTGGAGGGTTCTGAGGCCATATCTTTGGGTCTTCTGTCTCCTTCACCAAGGCTTTCATCAGCTCAGAATTGGTCATTATTTGGATTGAGGCCAAGCTCTTACCTTTGCATTTAGACCTTGTCTTCTCACTCCTCCTCAGTCCTATTTGTACTTGTGACTTACTGCTCCCCAACTTAGTATCCCCACTCTACTTGGTTTAGTCAGGGCACATATAAATGAACCCGCAAATGCCAGTCTTATGATCCCACATGAGTCCGTCTTTCCCTCTCCTCCTGCAGTACGTCAAGCCCCAGCTAAGGAATGCATCTCCTCCACACGCCAGCTTTCCTCTAGGTCACTAACCCATAGAGATCTTTTGCCTTACTTTGAAATTCCTAAAATTCTATCACATGCTTCTATGTGGTCTAAGAATTAGACCCCAGAGCTTGGGATTTGTTTCTTCAATTAGCTTGTAAGATGTTGAATTTTTTTTCTCTCTTTTAAGTTGTCTTATTCTGTGCTGACATGTAAATAAGCATTTAATAAATGATGGGAGTATGGATAAGTGCCTATAGAAATGAATATTATATCCAAAAATGGTTCTTTTTATAATACAATCATTCATAGTCATTTCAATAATACTTAATTTGTAGAATACGTTGGGATCTTCTTGAGAGGCTATAGAAGTTAAGTAGTTTTAAGTATATATATTCCATACCTTTCACTCCTGGTTCCTTCTTAGGAACCAGGATTTGGGGGCAACTCTAGGCAAAAAACTACATTCTTAGCTTTAGGGAAGGTGGGTCTTGTCAGTGATTCTATGTACACACTTAGGGTTTGTCCCCAATTTGTGAATATTCTTAATCCTCAGAGAGTAAATAATTGACTAAAAATGTATTGATCAACTCCTATACATGAGCTATGGTGCCAGACACCCTCACCTACAGTATTTCCCATAGTTACTTGGGAGGGGAGGATTACTGTCACCATTTCACAAAAGAAAGCACTGAATGCCCGTAGCAGAGCCAAAATCCCAAACCAGACTTAACTTTGGTGTCAAGGCTCTCCCATTGGCCCTTTCTCTGTTGGCCAATCAACGCTCCCATCTCCACCAGCTTTGCTCTGCTTTTCCTTAACTTTGTTCCTTCTTCTTCATCTTTTAGAACTTAGTGTTCATCCTAAATCTGTCCTCAGTTGTCTCCCTGCCACCTCCAAGCAGCCAACCCCACACATCAGCCTCATTTTTTCTAGACAACTTTTGTTTTGTATTCTACTAGGCATGACAGCTTGTGTTTTGTTAGACTTTGGCTGGGGTCACTATTCCCTTTAGTATCAGTAAAGACTGTCCTCTCTGCCAATCCCTGATCCTTAGGGGAACATGGGCATAAATCTTGTTATTTATTCACAAACATATTATATACATAAGATGTGTGTATATATCCCATATGATGTTATGGGCCATATATGTAGCTGGTGAAAAAGGTTACTATGGTGAAACAAATGAACATATCCATCATCTCATGTAGTTATCCACTTCCCCAAGGTGTGGTCCCTGTTCAGAGTCTCAGACTTTTTTTTAAATAGTAGATAGTTTTAAGTTGGCTTAGAGAGAAGAATTTATGACACAAATCTTGAACAGTGATGATTCTGTGTGGAGGGGAATTGTTTCTAAACAGACTTTCAGGACAGTTCTGGCTGCTGCCCTCTTGGCATCCCACAGCTGGCCTGTGCTGAGAGCACAGAGCCGTATGATTACCTAGTCGCACAAACTTTCATGTAGTGGTGCATAAAATTCTCATTAGAGTAACATGAGAATAGCACTGTCAGCCTCATTTTTCAGGTAGGAAAATTAAAGTAAAAGAGCTAATAAGTGGTGGGGCTTGGATTTAGAACCCAAATCTCCTGACTAAACTCTTTGTTGGGGTCTTCTTGAGAGGCTATAGAAGTTTGTTGTTCTACTGCCTTACTAAAGAAGAAGGACTTCTCATTTTTACCTTCTTCATTGTATATTTAAAAGTTTTTTATAATAAGCACAAATAATTGTTACAAAAATAGTATAACTATTTTCAAAACAAAAATACAAATTATAAGAACAGTACATACCTAGATGAATCCTCCAAGAGATTTTTGCCTTGATGAGGAGATGAAGTGCCCACATAGTTAAAGCAGCATGTGGTCATGTGTGATTAGGAATGTAAGTGAATGGAGCTGGCATTGGGGAGGACCCTAAAGGACTGGGGGTTTGTGGGGGAGGGAAAGAAAGCTCCTAAATTGGACTTGAACTGAGATCAGAAGGAGTGTAAGAATCCCACAGCAGGAAACACCTCTAATAAGGGTTCAGAGGTGGGGAGGGTTGGCTGGGGTTTTGTAGGGAAGGGAAAGTAGACTCCTCAATTGGACTTGAACTGGGACCAGGAGTATAATAAGAATCTCACAGCAGGAAGAAGCTCAGAGGCAAGGAGGATGAGCCACGTTCACCAGCGCTCAAAGCCTGGAGGTCTGAGGAACAAATTAGAGGGCAGTGGGAGGTGCCCAGCCTAACAGGGCCCACGGTGGGTGCCAGGTTTCAGGTTTATGCACACTTGTTGATTGAACAACCTTTCCTGGGAGCAGGTGGCTGCAGTCCGAGAAGGAATGTCCTGGATTGTTCCTGTGCCACTGCTATCCCTCCTCACAGCAAAACAGCTGGAGCAGATGGTGTGTGGGATGCCTGAGATCTCTGTAGAAGTCTTGAAGAAAGTGGTACGGTACCGTGAGGTAGATGAGCAGCACCAGCTGGTGCAGTGGTTCTGGCACACACTGGAAGAGTTCTCCAATGAGGAGCGGGTGCTTTTTATGAGGTTTGTGTCAGGAAGATCTCGACTACCAGCGAACACTGCTGATATTTCTCAGAGATTTCAAATCATGAAGGTTGATAGGGTAAGTAATTTATTCTTTCTTCCTTGACAATGTCTGCCTTTACTGCTTCCTTATTGCTTGCATGTTGGGAAAACCTGTCTCAGTAGATCTGCCAATTTATGCTTAATGCTTGGAATTTCCAGATTAAAGAAAAAGTTTGTTCAGAAACATCACTTAGCTTTAATGAAGAAAGTCCTAAGTAGATGTAGAAAGCATACTTCAAGCAACAACCTTCCCTAAATCTTCCAGCATCTTCTTGAGTTAAAGCTGAACTTGGCAGAAGGATGATGATGTTGCTTGGGCCTCTTATATCCTCATGTAACTTGCACTGGGGCATGGCCTTGTTTGTTGTTTTCATGAAGATAATTAACTGTTACCTTGTGGGTGTGCTCCAGAAGGAACCTGAAGACGCAGGAAGCAGTGATAACATGCTCTGCACCTACTTGTGTGGTGTCATCATGGGGCAGGTGGTGCTGCTGCTCTGTGGCCTGATGAGAGGCCCCAGCTGTAGAGCCCCAGCCCAGCTGTCATTTACAGATAGCTTAGGAATAAAAAGTCTTAGAGTCTGAAAAGCACACTGCTGCAAGAGTCTTTCTTAAATGCCCATCTGGCCACGTCACTCTCCTCTTTTCAGGTACCCCCTGCATAGAGTCCAGGATAAATACCAGTGGCCCCTACCTATCTTAAACACCTCCCCAGGCTGGCCTCTGTCCCACTTCCTGATATCATCTCTTGACACTTACCATGTTCTGGCCATAATGGACTGCTTACCTTTCACCCCAGCAGACCTTGCTATTTTTAAACTTTTGTACCTTTCTGTGAGCTCTTCCCTCTGCTTTAGTCAATTTCTCCTTCCCGCCCCTTTTCCTATATGCCTGGAAGGCCCTTATTCATTCTCTAAGCTCTACGTCAATGTCATCTCCTCTAGGAAGCCTTCCTAGGTGCTTTTCTGTGCCATTTTCCTAAAGGCAGACTTAGCCAGCCAGACCTCCTTCTCCTGACCACATGGTGAACACTTTGAACATGGCACTTACTACATTAATTAGGAAATATCTCTGTTCCTTCTGTCTCCACTCTTCCCAAGCCCCCTCTCCCATATGGGATGAGCACTCTGAGCAGGGCCTCTTCACATAAAGGTCCTTCCCCCTAGTTTCAGTGTCTGCCTTTCTGGTCTTTTTCCAGAAATTATACCTAGAGGTTGCTGTAGCTAAAGCTGTTCTTTTCCCTGCTGCCTCCTGAGGCTGCAACCCTATGTTCTACCCACAGCTAGGCTTGTTGGAGAAGCCACATGCAGGAAGGGCTATGAAAATAGCCTTTCCATAAATTTTCTGCATGAGTTGCCAAGAACTATAAATTGTAAATCTCTTTTGATAATTCAGAGAGAGGTGGGGACAAGGAAATGGTTTTCTTCTATTCAGCTCCTTATATTTGTCCTAGGGTACCCCTGCCATTCCAGAAGTTAATCTACCACTAATTCCCTGCTTTGGGGTTGTCAGCCTCAAAAACTGACTACCGTGGGTGTTTCCTTTCTCCATAGCCACATTTAAGTCACCAGAGCCACCTGGTGGCACCTCCCTTCCATGCTGTTTTTAGTTTTTCTGCCTTAGAGCCCTAGTACTTCTGGGTCACTGGGCCCTCCATCTCCTACTCTGTGGAAATGCAGCTTATCTAGCTAGCTATGGAGTTCTAAGAAGGTGGGCAATTGCAAGGGGAAGTTGAACTAGAAAGAGGGGGCAGTTTCTTATAAACAAACAAACAAACAATTTTTTTTAAGTTTTTAAAACAGGATGGGCACGATGACTCATGTCTGTAATCCTAGCACCCTGAGAGGCGGAGTTGGGTAGATTGCTTGAGCTCAGGAGTTTCAGACCAGCCTGAGCAAGAACAAGACCCCATCTCTAAATTAAATAAAGAAGTAACATTTATGAAAATAATACAGTATAATTACTGTCATTAAAAATAGTCTGGGAAATGGTTGTGTTTGCAGGAAGGCACAGAAGACATACCCTGTTTCTGTAGTAGTAGCCATTTTTATCTTTGCCTCCTAGTCTTTGTCTTAGTCATACACATCTTTGCATGGTATATCTAGAATTTTTATTGTGATTTTTTTTTCTTAACCTCCTAAGCTATATGGAACACTTCTGTTTTGCTGCTTTTCATCATAATTACTATTTGAAATGACTGCATCATTGTCAGTTTAATGGATTAACTGATCACTCCTTCCTCATCTGAGCTGTATGCTGGCAGCCATGTGCAAAAGAAGCAGAATGCACCTGAGGAGGTCAGGGAGAGGGTGAAGGCAGCTCCTATGGCCAGCTCACAGTTGTTCCTTCCATCCCACCTGCTCTGTTGGATCCCTGCACCTGGCTTCAAGTCTGCGCCCTCTCGATAGATGGAAACAAACTCTCCCTATACTCTCACTCTGTGCCAGGAACTGTGTGAAATATGTTCTTTTAGGCATTCCTGCCAGGCAGGGCTTATTCTCACTTTACACATGCAGTACTGGGGTGTATAAGGAGAGGAAGGAACATCTCCTCCAAGAGCCTTGAGGGCCATGAGAAAACAGAGTCCATTTTCTCTCTTGTGGCTTAGTCTCTGCTTCCACTTGACTTGAGCATGATGTCATATCCATGGAGTTCATCTTGACGGCAGGGAGAGAAGCTTTTCAGCCTTTGGGATGGTAATCATGGGCAACCCCTATTCCCCTTCAAAGTGCCCCAGCGCCTGCAGTCACAGCTCTGGGTCTCTCTCTCCGCAGCCTTACGACAGTCTGCCTACCTCACAGACCTGCTTCTTCCAGTTGAGGCTTCCCCCCTACTCCAGCCAGCTGATCATGGCTGAGCGCCTGCGCTATGCCATCAACAACTGCCGCTCGATCGACATGGACAACTACATGCTCTCAAGAAACGTGGACAATGCTGAGGGCTCCGACACCGACTACTGACCACTGTGGGTGCTCTCACCCCCTCCTTTTTTCTCAATAATGCTCACTTCCAATTTGATGTTGATATACTTTTATGGTAACTACATAGATGTTTTAGGAACATAAATCAACATTATAAACAGTGGCCACATTTAGTTACCCTAAATGTAACAAAGAAATTAGATGTTTTTATTTTTCTGTGATTGTACAAAAACAAAAAACAAAAACAAAGTGCTTTCAGTCAGGTTTCTCCCTCCATATTTTTGGTCACTTTTGATAAGTTTGCATGGAACCATTTTGATGCATTTTTAGTTGGGAATGATACATTTTTGTAAACCCACCCAGTGAACATGAAATTGTACATTGTGTATAATTGTTCATTAGAAAGGACAGTTTTACATGAATATTCATATATTTATTTTGTTTTAATTTGAATTGCCTGTGCAGGGTTCCTTATGCAGAGAAATAAAGCAGATTCAGGAATCAGAGCATGGGCTATTAACGTTACTTCCAGTGGGAGCTGCCCCAAGGCAAAAGTTAGTCCAGAAACAAGTGTTCAGGCTAGTCTTGCTTTTACAGCTTTTTGACCTATTCAGTAATATTCCTGCACATTGAACATGATTTTCCCTTAGAAATGACCTAGCAGAGAACCATGTGGTTCCTTCCAGGAACCCCTGTGGGTCAGAAGCCTGTTTTCTTTTGTTCTTTTGTCATCCTGCCTCTCTCACTTTGTTCTGTCACCCCAGGACCCTTGCCTCAGCCATCCTTTCAGCACTGCCCTCCCTTCTCTGAACAGCCACAGCATCCTTGGCGCAGGGTTCAGCTCCACTAGGCAAGGAATGAGAGAAGCCCACATAAGGCAGTTCTGGCCCTTCCTGTGAAGAACCTGTGAAGTCAAAATGAACAAGTGATGGGATTAAAGAACAGGGCAATTTACAACAACATGTAGTCTTTGCAGGTAGGAGGTGTTAAAGAAAGGATAGCTATCACTAGGAGGCACTTGGCATCTGTGAGTACGTGCCTATGAGTGAGTACATGAACGTGTGAATTAATATGAGAATTGGTCAGTGGTACAAGGGGCTAGAGAAGGTCTTGGCACTTGAACCTAGCTCTTGCAGGCCCTTGGTAATGTGCTCATTGTTCAGCAGAGTCAAATGAATGTGGTTCCTGGAAGAAAGGACCATCTTGAAAATAGCTCTGAGGGCTCTAGTTGCTGGGACTGCAAGCAGGAAGAGGGCAAGGCCTGTGGGCAGCTTGTCTCCTTCACTTATAGCAAGTTCATGCCACAAGCTGCTTCCTCTGTATTTCATGGACAAGGTCTTTGCTGACACCCTGCTCTTAGGTGCCTGAGGGCTATCTACCTTAGAGAGAGAGAGAGAGACAGAGACAGACAGGCTTAGAGTTCTTAGCATAGATAGATCTTAGTCTTTAGTAGAGCGTGGTAATCTTCAGCAGAGAGACACCGTGCTGGCATTCTGCAGGCAGGATCAGAGTAAGCGAGTCCATGATAGAAAGTGCATGCTTACCGACTGCCTTCTCCTCTAGCCTAATATAAGGCTGATCTCATGCTGCTCAACACCACAGGTGTAGAGACTGCCAATTCACCACTGCTCTCATCTCGCGAGCTCTCATGCTTGTTAGGAGAGCTAAATTTCTCTCCATGCCCTTTCCACCGAAGTGTTCCATTATTGACCTACAGCAGGTGCCCTCAAACTACGGCCCGCGGGCCACATGCTGCCCGCCTAGGACATTTATTCAGCCCGCCAGGTGTTTTTGCTGCTGCTACCGTCTGTCCTGCTTAATAGCCGACTCGTCCGCAGTCTGGCCCTCCAATGGTCTGAGGGACAGTGAACTGGCCCCCTGTTTAAAAAGTTTGAGGACCCCTGAGCTACAGGTATTTCTTATAACTCTCATTCCTCTAGCCATAAGCTATAGGGGCTGCTACACAACCAATAGCAGCATTGAGGGCTCTGGGCTTGAAGCCCTCACTCTGAGGGTGGAAAGGCACTGCCTGGGCCTCTGGATCAGGAGAGAATTTCTTTAAGAGAAGGAAGCTGTCTGTGCTGTGGAGATCCTGAACAAAGCCTAGAGCATTTTTTATTTAAACTTTTTTTTTTTAAATGTTGTTGCCCTTGGTAGAGTGCCGTCGCATCACAGCTCACAGTCACCTCTAGCTCTTGGGCTTTAGGCGATTCTCTTGCCTCAGCCTCCCGAGTAGCTGTGACTACAGGCGCCCGCCACAACACCTGGCTATTTTTTGTTGCAGTTTGGCCAGGGCTGGGTTTGAACCTGCCACTCTTGGTATATGGGGCCGGCACCCTACTCAGTGGGCTGAGGGTGTGTAGAGCAAAAGGGCATGTCTGCAGTCTCAGGTTATTTTAATTTGAAAATTAAAGCCTTTGTGAGGCTCTGGCTTTTGCTGCCACAGTTTTCTCTGGACTGAGAGGGTTAGAATCATCCCCAGCAAGCTGTTGCTTAATAGTTCCAGGTTCTGTGCTCAGGCCTAATGGGCAATTTCTCAGGGGGGTTGAACCCATGAGGGGAATCTCATGGATACTGTAATTTTATAACAGATTCTGTTTCTTTGCTGGAAACTTCTCATTTCTTCTTCTTTTATTTATTTATTTATTTTGAGACAAAGTCTCACTCTGTTGAGTCAGGCTAGGGTGTCATGGCATCAGCAACCTCAAACTCCTGGGTTCTAGTCATCCTCCTGCCTCAGCTTCCCAAGTGGCCGGGAGTACAGGTGCATAACACTCAGTCAGTTTTTCTGTTTATGGTAGAGATGGGGTCTCACCTTGTTCAGGCTGGTCTTGAACTTCTGACCTCAAGCTATCCTCCCACCTTGACCTCCTGAAGTGCTAGGATTTCAGGTATGAGCCACCATGCCTGGTCTCTTTTGACTTTTGAAAACTCTGAAAGAGAGAAGGAAGCACGAGTCCCTGACGTGGGGATCTAAAATGGGCCTGGTGGAGGTGTTCTCTTGGTTCACTTTCAGCCACTGTAGAGGCTTGGGTGATTTTTTTGTTTGCTGGCCTCATTCAGTTAACAAATACTTGAAGTTCTTGTGACCCTTAAGGAGTCTTGTGACTCCTAGCCTTTAAAATTTAGATTTGACACTTAGCCTCCAAAATTTAAGATTTTCCAGATCCCTTCCAAGGTGTGCCTTTGTTTTGCTCTTCCTATTGTGGCCTTTGCCCAACACTGCCAGACAGATAAAGCCTACCCCGGGTAGGCTTGGCTTTTAGCCAAAAGCAGTCTTTGGGCCGTGAATCCTAGAGCAGGAGGGGAGGTCTCTCAAGGGTTAGCTGAATTCTCCTTTTAGACTAAGAACCCAAGGTCAGGAGAAGGAATGCACTGGATCACAGGTGCATCTGGGCTAGAACCAGGAGCTTCAGCTTCCTGTCACTGTGCATGGTGGAACTAAGAGGACTCAGTCTGTTCTTCCCCAAACAGCTTGTGCTGTCCTTGGAAGACAAGTGTCAGAACACCACCTCCCACCAGCAGGCTGCTACCTCCAAGGGGGAATCTGGAGATCCTGGCCTGTGGCCCTTTTTCTGCTAGCACTGTCTCCTATGCAGACCAGCATGATAGTGGTGACAGGTTAGCCTACAGCCAGGCAGCAGTGTCCTGCCCTAGTACTGACGTGTGGCTCCCTCCCTCTACTTTTCCCTGTGTGTCACCATTGGCTGCATTGGCCAAAATTGAGATAGAAAAGTTAGCATTCTAGAAGTTGGGAAAAGTCTGTGACATAATAGAGGCCATGAGGGTATAAACAATTCCTAAGGCTTTGGGGGGTAGCTCTGGAATACGATCAACCTCCCATTTCCCCTAGCTTACCCTTCCCTGGATGTGCCTTGGGCTTCTTGCCTCTTGTCTTTGCTGAGGCCAAGAGCTGTGCCTGCTAAGAACACCCTCCTCATAGTTGGAGTCTGTGGTAGCTGTGCTCAGCCCTTTATGAATAGTTCCTGTATTACCCACATAAAAACCTGCCTTGCTTCTTCCCAGTGCTTGGGCCTTGTGGGTTCTACCAGGCACTTAGCTTTTCTAGCTCCCCATGGATTTAAAGACATCTCTCCCAAATCTTACCTTCCAGGCACTGCACATTTAGACATGATCTCATCATGTCACAGAGAAGGTATTGGTCCCATTTTACAGATAAATAAACCGAGACTCAGAGAAGTCATAACTTGTGAGAAGCTATTCACAGCAAAGCTGGGAGATCACCCAAGAACACTCCTATCGTCAGCTGTATGTCTTCTTTCAACTAGGACTGAGTCCTTTGAGATAGGGCCTGGCCCATCCCATGGCCAATACTGAGTAAATGCTTGTGAGATGAATAAGTTGGTGGATTAAGTATGCAACGTACCTTGTTCTGTGCAAACCTGAGGAGAAAGCCTTGAAAATGGTTTTTTAGAGTAAGTGGAATGCCATGTTCTGTGAAGTGCTTTATTTATCCCTGATGATGGGTAGACAGTGACTGTTAGAAGGCAAAATGGAAGAGTCGTGGGTCTCCATCAGTGCTCACCTATTAGGATTGCTTAAAATGGACTTTGGGTCAGGGACTCAAAGCTCCCTTTGCTAGGGTGGGAGCCAATTTGGAGCCCTAGAAACAACCTGGGATATAGCTGCCAGCACAGCTTTTGCTCTGTGATCACCATTGTCTTGGGGTGTAAGGGAGTTACTAGGCACCAGAGGATTAGCCTGGGAATCTAACTCTCATTTATAGAGGAAAACCTTCCATGGAAAAGGGGTGGCCTCCAGGGAATGTGGGTTACCCCATTTGAGCTCAACCTGCAGTCAATTCTGTTTTGCAAACACAATCATGACCTTTACAAGCAAGGCTCTCTTGCTATCCCTCTATACAGATAAGAAACTGAGGTTTGGAGAGGGCTGATCTGCCCTTGGTCACAGAGCTAGAAATAGAAAAGTGAGGGAGGTGAAAACCCAGATCCATTAGAGCCTGAGGCCAAGATCCTGTTGTTCCCCAGGCTAAACCAATGTAGGCCAAAGGATCTGCTGGGAATTGAGGCTTATTAGAGATGATGAAAGCAAAGCCCTGGGACTTAAATCGCTCTGAGTAGACAAACATTCAACCCCCTATGAGCCTGACTGTGCCTTCAGTTTTGTTCACATTAGTCGAAATAAGATTTAGTCCCTACAAGGCCTCTCTCCGGAATCCAGAGCAATAGTGTGCAAACTGAAAAAATCACCTAAAGGAAGCCTGGGTCTCATAGATAAGTAATTGGGCCCTGCCACTCCACTGCAGCTGGTGGCATGACACGGCTGGCACCCCTACACAGAGATTAGAAGGGATTATGCTGGGCCAGGGCTCAGGGTGGTTACCCTATTTCAGAGGTAAGCATTGCCCAACAGAAGGCCTGGGGCAGCAGTGGAGCCCTTTATTAGTCCCCAGAAGGGTGGGGGAGGGTGCTGTTTGCCTGCCCACAAGTTCTTCCTGGAAATACTTCAGTGCCTCTGGGACTTTACCTAGATCAGTGGTTGTCAACCTTCCTAATGCCGCAACCCTTTAATACAGTTCTTCATGGTGGTGACCCCAACCATAAAATTATTTTCATTGCTACTTCATAACTAATTTTGCTACTGTTATGAATTGTAATATAAATATTTGACATGCAGGATGCTCTTAGGCAACCCCTGTGAAAGGGTCGTTTGACCTCCAAAGGGGTCGTGACCCACAGGTTGAGAACCGCTGACCTACATATTTCTGAATTGCACCCTGGCTCCAGCTGGGAGTAGGTTGGGGAGAGGGAATCTTCAGCTCTCACTTCATCCTTACATTAATCTATCCATTTATGGCTATCTCCATCCCTTACTTGTCTGATCTCTCCTGCTCTGCTCCCCTCCTCACCACTTAGGTCCAGCCACACAAACCTCCTTGGTTCTCTCCCAAACACACCAGCCACTCACCTAGTCTGGGACCTTTGCCCTGGCTGTTCTCTCTGCCTGGAGTATCTTTCTCCCACATGGTTTGCTTGGCTCCCTGACTCACATCGTCTGTCTCTGATGTCACCTCAGTAAGGCTTACATTTGTCAATCCCTTTTAGTGGCAAATTGCAATCCCCATTGCAATCTCTTGCCATAAATCCCCACAACCACCTTACAGCCTGCACTTTTTTCCATAGTACTTACCACATTATACAGTATATTTCTCAACTACTTGTTCTCTCTTCCCCTACCAGAAAGTAAGCTCCAAGAGAATAGAAACGTTGTCTTTTTTCCTTCCCTGTTTCTCTATTTGGGCAACGAATTAAGAAACCTGTGAGTAGTGACCAAGATCCTGTTTCAATGAAGAAACACCTGGCCTCTCATGGGCTCACGGGCTTGGTTAGCTGGGGGGGGTGTCCGCCTCGCAGGCCACACTGCTCCCTGCCTCTTCACCCAACTAGTTTTTCTCAGGTCACGGGACCAGAAGGGTGCTGGAAGGCTGCAAGCCTTTATTAAAGGTAAGACATTGAGTACACCCTTGAAACTAAAGTACAGGCGTGTGCCCATGTCCAGCAAATCCAACAGGTGAAAATCCAGCTTAACATCAGTTTACGATAGTTCCATTATCAAACGCTAGTGCTTTATTTTTAAATCTATCGTTTTTCAAATGATTTTTCTTGATGATATGAAAACGGTAGAAAATACGTATAATTATGCAGTTTATAAGAGAGAACAGGAGCGAATTTTCTAGAATCGTGTGCCCCAAGAAAATCGAGCAGGCTGGCGTGGTCTCCAGGCACTTGGGCACGGCCTTGGGGGGTCTCCCTCCCGTCCACAGCCGCAGCACTCCGCTGGGCAGCCCGCCTTGTCGCTGGAGCGCTCCGGAGCGATGGCCGCGAGGGTCCCTCGGGCAAGGACGCAGGCACAGCCCCCTTCCCCGCGCGCAGCCGGCGAGCTCCAAGGCTCAGGCCCTCCGCGCCTTTGGCGGTCGGAGTCCACCAGGAAGCTGTAGGCGCCTCTCGCCGCTGCGGGAAGCGCGCGGAGCAGCTGGTGCCGGAAGGGGAAAGGTGGTGGTTACTGAGAACCAGCCGGGTGTTTTCCAAGCATCCGCCCCTTGATCTCGTGTTCATCCGATGTATACAATTGTGAAGTGAGGTAGGCATTCTTATCCCCACTGAGCAGACGGGGAAACAGGTTCTGAAGATGAGGCATTCTGGGAGGTGGGAAAGCTGAGTCGCCAGGGCGGTCTGACAGCCCGGCCGGCTCCCCCCACCCCCACCCCCCAGGCGTCAAGTTCCCGGCGCTGCAAGCCTAACGAGGCAGCGGTTTGCGAAGGGCTGTGGCGGACGCGCGCGGGCGCGGGTCCTGGTCGGGGAGCATGGCCGCGCTGTGCTCCGCGCGCAGGGCCAGGCGCGGGCACGCGGCGCGCAGACGCAGCAAGCCGGCCGCGCTCACGTTGCGGCAGAAGTCCACGTGCAGCGTCTGCAGCGCGCGGCCGTGCGCCGCCACGGCCGTCAGTGTGCGGTTGGTCACGCGCGCGCAGTTCTCCAGGCGTAGCGCGCGCAGGCGCGGGCAGCAGCGCAGCAGGCGCGTCAGGCAGTCGTCGGTGACGTGACCGCAGCCGGACAGCGTGACGGACGCCAGGTTGGGGCACCTATGGGGAGAGCGCGGTGATTCCGGGGCTGATAAGGCGGCCCAGGCCTGGCCTGTGCGGGCCTCACTCCTAAATTCCCCAGGGTGACCCTGCGTGTGCTGAGGAGGAAGGGGGCACAGCAAGTTTAAGGAACTTGCTTCCAGCATCCCAGCCGGGCTTCCGAGCTCACTTTCCCTGCTCTGTCTACCTCTAACCCCGCCTCGCCTTGCCTCAGATCTCCGGGGGCCCCCAGTGAGGAACCCCGGCCCAGGAGTCAGGGGGCTGCTGAGGTCAGAGGGCTGCAGTGCCCAGAGGGACAACTGTGGTTTCTTTCTCACTCAGTCACGTGGTGATTGCACGGTCAGGCCAGATGCTGAGCCGAGGACCCCTGAATGCCCTTTAGTAGGACGAGGGTGTGAACATGGCTGTTCCTAGTGACAGGCTCATTCAACCTCCGAAGCCGGGCTGGCCCCTCAGGATGGTCCTGGCCTCTGGGGCCTTGGTTTGGGTGCAGTTGACTGCGCCTCCCGCCAGCAGCCAGAGGCATCTAGAGCCTAGGCCTAGGGCTGGGCACGGTGGGGGAGACTCAGGTAACTTGCTGGGAAAGTTTGGAGGCCTCTACCGCAGCCTCCCCGGCACCTGCTAGAGAGAAGAGATCTTGAACAAGTTAGACTTGGCTGATGTGCAGCGTGGCCTTAGCTGCGACCGTGCGGCTCAGTTACCTAGCGAGTGGGAAGGATGCTGCCTTCCAGTGGGGCGTGAGGACTGAGACTTGGGAAGAGCCTGCAGCAGCCAGTCATCACCCACTCTGGCCAACAGGACCAGCCTGCTTCCAGTGCTGAGGGACCATCCCAAGGGACTGGGCCTGGGCTCCCTGTCGCCAGAGAGAGCTGGCGCCTGGATTGGGTTTCCCTTTTTTTGTTGGCCTCCGCTTGGCTCCTCAAGGGCACCTGGCTGGGCCAACTCAGCTCCTTTGTGCTTGGGGCAAGGGGATGAAGAACATACACAGGGCACAGCCACATTTCACACACTGAGTCCTTGCCTTCTTTAATCATCCCATCAACTTTCTGCACCTTCAGTTTTGTAAATGAGGAAATCACCCTGAGGACTCAAATGCCTAGCCTGTGACTTATTTGCTATCTGACCTGGGAGAAATGTCTGAATCTTGCTGGGCCACTTACCTGTCAATAGGGAGAAACTCTTACCTTCAGGGTGATTGTGAGGATTAGGTGTTAAGTCCCAAGGGTGTTGAGTGATCTCTTTCCCCTAAGAACCCTTAGAATAATTTTGATGCAGGGAAAAAACAGAGAAAGAGAGCCAACTCCTTCCCGTGCACAGCCACCCTCAGCTGTTCCAATTTGAGCTGATTGACAGAAAAACTAGGTTGTTAGACTTTTATCAGTTCCTACTGTGTACTGTATGCCAGGTGCTGCTGTGTCATTTGATCCTCTTACCCTGTGAGATAAGGGAACTTGCCTCATTTTACATAAGAAATGAGTTTGCAAGAATTTAAAAAATTTGAGCAGGAGTCACAGATCAGACAGCAAATCTGGGGTCTCAACACAACCCTGACAGCAAAACCCCGTTGCTTTGTGACAGCATGGGCCCTTGATTGGCCCATACAGTGGCCTGGGAGATCCCTCCACACCTTGCTGGTTTGAACAATTACGCCTAGTTCTCTTAAGGAAATAATACAACAACTTCAGATCAAACTCTGCTACTACCGTACCCCATGTTATTCCCTAGTCTGATTTCTGGCCTTTGTCAAGGTCATCAAAATGGCTTGGTAGTCCATCTTATTTTCTTCCTACCAGCTTATAAAAGAAAGGTGGGGCCTTCCTTCCATTCCTATCGTGTTGCCAGCAACCAGCAGCTATTAAACTTGGGTGGCAACAAACTGGCTGAGCCTAGTTTTCCATGAACAGCTAGAGTCAGTTTATTAGTGATCACGGGAGTTGCTTTTCCTCAAAGGCAGGACAGGACTGGTGAAAACTCAGCAAGAGGCTGGTTGAGTAGCTCTGTGTTCTTGCACAGGCTGCTTTACCCAGGAGGCTGGGAACACAAAGCAAGCCTGGCTTGGTGGCTCAGCCTACCTACGGGGTGGGGTTGATAGGTCAAATACAGAATGTAATTAGGACATACTTGTATTAAGAAATTCACTGTTTATTTGAAATTAAAAACTAACTGGGCAGCCTGTATCTTTATTTGCTAAAATATGGCAACCCTAGACAGTGGGCATATCATACCACATCTTGAAGCATCAGTTTGCTCCTTTGAAAAACTAGGCTAAAACTCTTTTGGAGGTACTGTGCAAATTAATAAGTTCCCCAAAGGAAACCACTACTGTTTATTACTGCCTCTGCATCCAAAGTCTGGTTTGGCTCAGCTGAGTCCACCCCCACCCCCAGGCTCTTCCTCCTCACCAGCTTTTCACAGGCCTTGGGGGCTGCTTGCTAGTGCCAAATGGAGGGCTGGACTGATTGTTGTATCTGGAAGCCTCTTACCCTTGAAAGATCCAGGCCCACCTGGACCCACTTAGCACTTAATGGCCACTAGGGAGGACCAATTGTTTGCAGCAGCAGATCTGGAATCTGAGAGGCTGAGGAGGATAAGCTTCTCTCGTGGTTTTATCCATCTCCTGGGAATTGTGCCTGGGTGTCAGCCTTGGGCCTAATGCTCCCCTAAGCAGAGCCATTAGATCTCCTAATTTGCTCTTCCCCTGGAAGAGCCAAAGCCACGCAGCTTAGGAGGCAAGGCCTACCTGTCGCACACCTGCAGGAGGAAATCATTGACCAGGCTCTCATGCCGGCTGCAGATGCTCCTCTGGAAGGCGCTCTTGAGCCAGTCCTCGACGCTGCATACCTGCACGCGGCTGGAGTGCCAGCAGATGGAAAGGCTCCGCAGCGCAGGGCCCAGCAGGAAGTTGTCCTTCTTGAGTTCAGTGAGGGAACGGAAGTGCAGTAAGGGCCAGAGCGTGGGATCCTCAAACACGTCGTGGAGCTGAGAGCAGGTCCTGGCCAGGTTCTTCCTGCTGTCCTTGTCCAGGAAGGAAAAGAGGTGCAGCAGGCATTCTCGGTTGAGCTGGGTTATGTGCATGGTGAGTGGCGGCCACACGTGAGTGTGGCTGGAGCCGACAGGGACTGACCTACCTCCTGCTCCTCCTCCCCAGCGCTGGGCTGGTGGACATATATGGTTGAGGAATGGTGTTTATTTTTGGCTAACAACTGGTGCTGAAGCTCTGAGGAGAGGGGAAAAAGCAAAGCCAGGATCCAGACGTTAAGTGCAGCAGTCTGTGGTTCGGCTTACGTTCAGAGGGATTGAAAATCCTGGCAGAAAAACAGCCTATTGAAGTTAAATGGTTTCCTTAAAAGGGATTTCTTTTCCTTTTAGCTGACAATGGTGTTTAGCAGAGAGCTCTCTGGCATTTCCCAAGGCCTTTTCCTTGGAGGTGGCAGTCCAGACCAGCTCTGTCTGGGCTTGCAGTCAGTACTCATCAGGAGAGACATTAATTGTAAATACGAACTTTTTTTCTAGAACATCAATTGGTATCTTTTGCTCCACCCTTACTTGGAAGAAGCCTGTTGTATTTTAGAGAGCTAAAGGTGACAGTTGAGTTCAGAACTGTTGAGAACCCACAAGGGAGGCCTTGTTTCTGTGTTATTTTTACTCCAACGTGATGGTTTCCAGGCTAGGCTGCTCCGCCTTCAAGTCTTGCTACCCTCCTCTAAGCAAGGAGATCTCCTTGGCCTCCCAATAGCTATTTTTATCCTGAGTTGTTTGATAAAAAGATTTAACAGAAGTAGCTTATCTTACCAAGGTTTTGTGTGTGTGTGTCTCTATGTTTTAAACTTTAAACTGAACTTTACTTGGCTTTACGTTTTTCCAATTATGTCCTACTGTATAGAACCTGTGTTTCCCAAAATGTCAGGATGGATGAGGTAGCTCTTAATACAACAGCTTGAAGCAGTTTTAAGTTGAAGTTATTATAGTCTATGCTTGCCTTTTAAAGCCAGCCCCACACCATCCCCTTTGTGAGGTCCCTGAGTTCTCTCTTGGAGAAACCTCTGGGTCAACCCTCTATCCTCTAGGTCACCTCTAGGCAAGTTGGCTGGAGGTATTTTTCCATACTTTCTAAAGTAGTTAAGGCTTCATAGTATGGTGGACCCATTTCTTAAGACTGCTTCACTCCCAATCCTATGACCCAACCTTAATTTCCCTTCTATGAATCCATTCCTGGGCTTTGTTACTGGTTGGTTGGTTACTGCCTGTGCTAGTCAGGTGAGAACAGCTTTTCCTCTGCTAGTCCAGAGAGTACCACCTCAGTGGTCACTTCTGTTTGTTCTCCCCATTTAACTGGAATTGGGAGGAATGAGAATACTTTTGTTTTCCCACTGTGTGGGCTTGTGACACAAATGAAGCCACTATGCTGGACTCACTTCTGGAACTAAGTCTGGCCTGGTGCAGCTTTGGTTTTAAAAGCAGAAGGCAGCCATGGAAAGAAGTAGCCATTCTAGTCAGTGCCTTTCCTCTGAGAAGCCAGTCTCCGCTGGTCTTCCTGTGCCTCTGCCACCCCACCATGCCAAGGTGATGTGCAAAGAGGGATTTTTCTTGAAAACATAAACCAAGGACAGCTAAAAAGAAGCATTTTTCAAGGAAGAGATAACCAGCTGCTGCTGCTATTTCAAGCTAATCATTTTAGTTCAGAATTACAGCTGAAGCCCTTCTGGGCTCCATCTAGGTGTACTTAAAGGCTACACTGCAACACCACAGACAAGGTTATTAGCCTTATTATTGCCACTTTCCTTCCCAAGTCCTTTTCAAACCAGTATTTTTCACAGAGGGCTGATCCTTAGAAATAGGTGGTTCTTTCAGCTTATTTAAAGGCCAGAGTAATGTGATGATGATGGGGAAGAGTCACGGTAGTCCGTCATGGTTTCCAACCTGCACAGTGTGCAGCCTGCTAGAACAGCAAAAGATTGGCAGGGAGGACGTTTAGAGCCCTGTCCTTGGCTGCTCCTCCAGGTAGCTGGTAGGAAGCATCCTAGACTCTTAGCATGGAATACAGGCGGAATAATCTGAGCTGCAGGCACCTATCCTCGATTAGGAAGACAAGAATAGGCAAATAAGTCAGACAGAGGAACAGGGCTGTTGGTTTTTCTGTTTATAGGAGGCTTGGGGGCAGAGAAGTAGGACATAGGGGCACTTATTTGCCTGTTTTGATTTAAAAGATCAAAACAGAGCAAAAGATCATTTACTCAGAGCCCCTAAACTGGGTTCTCGGGTTAGAGTCTAGTGTAAAGGAGGGAAATAGGCATTTTTATAAGATCAGTAATAGTAAGGAGGGACTAAGGATGGTTTCACTGAGCAAGTGAGAGTGAGACTTCAGGCACTTGACTACAGGCACTAAAGGATCTCCTTCCAGCCATCACCTTGCTGGTAGAGTGCCATCCTGGCCAAGGAATACCAGCAGTTCCAAATCATGGGCATTCTATAAGAACTCCTATGTGTTAACTGGTAAGGTCCTTAAGTATATCATAATTTGGCTCTACTGAAAAGTGTGCAGAAATAATCATCAAAAGGAAAGAGAACAGACCTTTAATGATATTTTTCCAGTAGTTTAGGTTGGTGAAGTAGAAAAGGGATGTGATTAAAACTTAGTCATTTGCACAGTTTAAACAATCCTCTTGGCATCACACAAACTAGATTTTAATGGTGAATGATTACATCACAGCATGACCAATATTTGTGGAAGGCAGTCTGGAGTCCAATATACTCACACCTGAGGGGAAGATGTTGCACTCAGTGATGAGATGCAAAGACCCCAGACTACAGATGACCCCTCGCTGTGCTGTGGGTGCACTTCTATACACCCTAGTCACCTGGGATCCACGCCCTGGCTGCAGAAACGGGCTTTGCCCATGAGCTTTTCCAGGGCCTGAGTGAAGAGGCCACTAACATGAGAGTTTAGGGATGGTAGAGGTTAATGTATGATACACATATCTAAACAGACTATGTACACTAAACCAATGAAGGAGAGTTTGGCTTTAAGAAATAAGTATGTCCCCAACCAAAGAAACCACACTGCCCAGTAGTTCCACAGGTGAGATACACATTTAACACTTAACCAGGGCCAGTATACTTTACTGGTTTAATCCTATTACATTTGTCTTCACTATACACTGAGTAGAATACAGTGGATTAGCAAAAGTTTCTCCACCATGGAGAGAGATTTGTGTTGCCACAAACGGTTTCTATCACCCACCTGTGTGGGAGGACTTCTGAGAAAGTTTTCTTGTTCCGGGGAGCCATGTGACTCGATGTGAGGCTCTGCCTCAGCAGAAGCTCTCTGAGTGAGAAGCCATGTACATGCTGGAGACAACATGGCACAAGGGAAAAGCCCTGAAGAGCACAAAAAGTTCAGTTTTTAAAATAGGTGTGATAAAGCTACACAGTTAAAAAATTAAAATACAGGTAGGCACATTTACATCACTGGTGTTCAAGTGCACAATTCAAATGGATCCAGTCACTTTCTAAGGAGCCTTATGATACTCTTCAAACATTTCTGCTTAAGTAAAATAAAGCAATAGAAACACTACAAAATTTCAAACAGATGTGTTCATCTCTTAAGCCAATAGTGTTGCCTGTCTCAAGACCACTTTTCTCAACAAAGTAGTCCAGTATGTTGCTAAATTCTATTTGGCATAAAAAGCCTTTTTTTTTTTTTTTAACCAATATCACTAAGACCTATTAAGTTACAACAGCTGCCCATTCAGAGAAACGAGATAAGTGCAAACATTAGAAGTTACAGCTGTCTACCTTCTAAGCAAAAGAGCCTGGATTCATAGGAGATAACTTGGCAGGATCAAAGGAGACTCAGATTTCAGGTTCATTTAGATACGATGTTAATGTACTGGTGTATTAGATTAAATCATGTGAAACTGTCATTTTTGTAGATCAAAACCAGTCACATACCACAATTTCATCTAGTTCAACCTAATGTAATTTATCATTATAAAGTATTTTAGGTCCATATTTCCTTCTTAATTATCTTCTAGGACTCTCTAACCTAAACGTGATGGCAAAGCTTTATTCTCTGGAGTGAAGATTTAGACCAGCATTGTCCAACGGGCTTCTACGTGTTGTCGGGCATGGCTAGTGTGACTGAGGAGCTGTGTTTCTAATTTAAATAACCATATGGGGCAAGTGTCCATCGTATTAGATGATTTAAAAAGTCTTGACTATTGTTTTCTTTTAATAGAAAAAAAGATTACCAGAAAGTCTGGTTTGTTGGCGTAATATGAGATAATAATTTGTCCATTCTAGAGAGTTGAGAAGGAAAATAATGTTAGACAAGAGATGAACATGAAAACAGAGCATAGTCCCACGGGTCCTATGCCTACAGGCCCATTTTGAGCTCCTGATCTCACCAAATAATTTGCAAATAATGCCACCACCATCCCCCAAATCAAAGGACTGGCTTAAAACACTTGTAGAAATTACATGACTTCTTTAAATGGTATTCTGGGGTGGCGCCTATGGCTCAGTGGGTAGGGCGCCAGCCCCATATACCAAGGGTGGCGGGTTCAAACCCGGCCCAGCCAAATTGCAACAAAATAATAGCCGGGCATTGTGGCAGGTGCCTGTAGTCCCACCTACTTGGGAGACTGAGGCAAGAGAGTCACCTAAGGCCAGGAATTGAAGGTTGCCGTTAGCTGTGTGACACCATGGCACTCTACTGAGGGCGATAAAGTGAGATTCTGTCTCTTAAAAAAAAAAAAAAAAAATGGTATTCTGGTTCCAAATTTCAGTTTGAGTTAAATCTAAATAAGGGGCCAGGCACAGTGGCTCATGCCTATAATCCTAACACTATGGCAGGCCAAGGTGGGTGGATTACTTGCGCTCAGGAGGTCTAGACCAGTCTGAGCAAGAGCCAGCCCCTGCCTCTATTAAGAAGAGAAAAAAAGAAAAAATTAGGCAGGTGTGGTGGTACGTGCCTATAGTCCCAGCTAGTTGCCAGCCACTAAGGCAAGAGGATCCCTTGAGCCCAGAAGTTTGAGGCTTCAGTGAGCTATGATGATGCCACTGCACTTTAGCCTGGGGAACAGAGCGAGACTATCTCAAAACAATAAAAGAACCCAAACTTAATAGTGCTATCTAGTGCTTGTACCTAAAAACAGAGACTACAAAATTTAAAAATAAAATCTCTACTTATTCAAATGTATCTTGAACTTGCTTTGCTATCAGGATAGGCCAATGAGAGTTGTTATTAAAACTCTGAAGTGTAGGTGACATTCAAAATCAATTCTAGAGGTTTGCATCTCAACCTGATAGCCAAACAAGAAGCAAGTCTAAAGTGGACATGCAGTTACTTCCAGTGCTACAACTAAAGGGGGGAATTGGATAGGGATTCGAAAAAGCAAGCAGAAGCTATGGTCTTATTTTACTAGGTGAGACCAATACCATGTAGCTAATCATAGAATTTTTCACCTTATTAAGTATTTCATCTTATTTGGACTTCTCTGTACTCTCATCCTATCTCCCCATGAACAAAATAAAAAGACTAATTCTTGTATTTGCAGTACAGGTATGACTGAACCAACAGGTTTATTTAGTTAGTGCTGATACACAGCAGCCTTGAGACACCAAGAGCAGCAATTACCTGGTCTACTTAAAGATGCCCTCTTAGTTATCTTTAACAGGCAAAAGAATGATTACTTAGCAGTCACTGTGAAATCTTGTGGGCCACAAATTACATGAGTACACGATCCTTGATTTAGAGTCAACCTGATCTCTATTATAGCTAGGGAAATGCAGCAGGCAATTGTGTCGCTCTTCATAATCAGGAACATATCTTGCTGTCAGCATGTGAGAGTAACAAAAGTATTGATGTAAATGTGCCTCAGTGTGACAACTGAAAACATTAATATAAAAAAGTCAAACAGAACTAAGTTCTTGAAACTACATATAAAAATTGAATTATTACAACTAAAGCAGCAAATCAAAATGTCTGCTGAGGTTTTCTGGTAGAACAACAACAAAATTAGTTGGTGCCCATGTTCAATAAGTCACTACCATTGATAAAACTAAACCCAAAATAGGAAACTGAAAAGTGCATAATGAAATTAAATCTTGGATCAAGTATTTGTGGAAAATTGGAAATGTTTGTCCGGTATAGTTGATGAATGATGATTTAGAGGAGGTATTAAAGTTTATCTGATCCAGCTTTGGCCTGACGTTCCA